ATTCTCACACTTGATAGTGTTAAATCTTTATTTTGAAATTTATGATTTTATGAGATATATAATATATTTCTAAATGTATTAGTGAAAGGTTAAGTAGTAAGATATATATTTACAAAATTATCATAATCGACAATTAATAGTGATTGTTAATTATGCATGGATAATCAACAATTAATTCTGTTGATTATACATGCATAATCAACAATCATTATTGGTTGTCGATTATATATATATAATCGATATATTATCATAATCAATCAAATTTTTATCGATTATATAAATATAATCTACAATTTTTTAACTATTAATTATATTTCTATTGATTAAATGCTATTTTCTAGTAGGAACCAAAGTTCTCTGTCTCAGCTTGGGACTTGAAGCTATCGTCCATGGATGTCATTCACGGTCACGGATACAAGTCATTGCAATTTGGGAAGGAAGAAACATGTGATTTTTGCACGGAACATTTTTTTTTTTTGGGTTAATAAGCATGGCATAGTTTTTATTAAGAAGAAAAAAAAATTTTACATCCTACCTATGCAGCACCACATAGGCTAAATAAAGAAATATAAAAATACTAGAAAGGTACATATAATATTAAGATAAGGAGTTATTGCTCATAATATGTGTAAACAATTAAGTGTAGTGAGTCTCAAGTTATTATTAAAGTTATAAGGGCATCAATAGGGCAATGGATGTCATGGATATTCATAATAAAACTTGATGAGATAAATTAAGAAAACTTGGATAAAAATTTTCTAAAGCAAGTAACAAAATCTCTTTAAAAGAAAAACCCTCAAATAAAGGAAAACAATTCTACCTTTACTCATCCTCTCTAATTGCCAAGAGAGGTAGAGGAGGCGACTAGGGCAAAAAAAGGACCAAGGGAGAAGGGAGGGTAAGAGGGAGAATGGGAGAGGGAGAGAGAAAAAGGGAGGGATCTTTGCTTGGATTTTGGTATGGGTTCTTATATCCTCCTAGCGCGTGGTGGTAAATTTAAATTCTGGGCTTGGCCCATATTAAGGTCCATTCCAGTTATAACTGGAAGTATACCACCCACCCCCAATAGTACCCCAGTAGAACTGATCCGGGCTAGAAGCCCAAACTCATCATCAACGTAACCAGTAACCACTAAGGGTGTTCATATCCGATCCAATCCGATTGATCTGACATAAACTGATCAAATCCAATTAAAAACCAATCCAAACCGATATAAAATTGGGTTGGTTTAAATTATAAAATTTTAAAACCGATATAATTTGTTTGGCTTGTGATTTTACTTTCAAATCGCCCGAACTGCTCGATTACAAAATAAAATTTGATTGCAAGATAACTTAATTAAATAATATAATATATTTTTTGTAGTATTTTAAAATTTCTTTTTCTTTTTTCACAAAATAATAACTCCATTAACTTAATTAAAAAATAAAAATAAAACATCTCCATATTCTCTAAGTTATTTTTCCATTTTAATCATATATTCCAACCCTAATTCTAAATTTCTAACTCACTCGCAACTCTATCCCTTCAGATTGGTTTACGCCTTTACTATTAAAATCCTAAATTTCTAATTTATTCTTAAAATAATCTTATAATTCTCCTAACTAAATTTTAAATAAATATCATTCTAAAAGTCTTAAAACTATATAATAAAATTAGTCTTAATATTCTACTATTATTGGATATTTGGTTTAGAAGTTTTAAATTTTGATTATAAATACTTCTAATCAATTTTAGTGATATTCATGTTAAATTTTATTCACTTTTAACGGGATTTAAAAGATGAGATTAAATTATTAGTGCATAAAGAAAAATAATTAATTTTAATCTTTAAGAATTATTTACGCTGTACCGAAAATTTGAAGTTATCTTTTATTGTTTTTGGTGCCTCTAGTGATGTAACCAAGAAGAATTTTTAGATTTTTTCAATTTTTACAAATGTAAAAGAGTATAAGAACTCGTTTATAATTTGTACTTTTTATTATATTTTTACTGATTTGCATGTTAATATGTTTTATGGCTATGTTTTCTATTTGATGTTAAAATATTTTTACATTATCTTATATATTTAATAATATTAAAAACCGATCAATCCGATTAAACCACATCGATCCGATTTAAGTTGGATTGGTTTGGTTATCATATAATAGTAGATTGGATTGATTTAAAATTTTTATTAAGCAATTAAATTGAATTGGTTTAAAAAATTTTAAAATCTGAACCAAACCACACTGCGAACACCACTAGTAACCACGTGTTCCTCAAGTGTACTAGGAAGTGAAGCAGCTTATTCCAAAAGGAAAATGCAGCATGAAGGAACATTGTCCCTAGTTGGCCTGAGGCGACGGACTCCTTGTTTGTTCTCTCTTAAATTCCTAAACTCATTATGTGGTAGGGTCTTTGTTTATCATTGATTTAGTACTTTTTTCATTCAATATATCCTTATTTATTATAATTGAGTATAGTTGATGTCTTTAACAATGATCCTTGGAATTTGGTGGTATCAAGGTAAGGAATGACCATCGTTGGGGGTTTTTAAATACAACATTTCAGCTAAAATTAATTCGACAGAAGGTTTTGTTAAAATTATTAATTTTAATTATAATTTTATTAATTTATAATTTTTTTATAAAAAATTAATTATAATATTTAAAAATATTTATTTATAAATTATTTTTAATTTATTAAATAATAAATTATTAATTATTATATATTTTAAATAATAAAATTAAAATAAAATTTTGACAATTTTAATAAATATAACAAATTTAACAATAACTATAATCATACTTCCAACATTTCTCCTAGCCCGGCATTTCCCCTAAGAAGTAGGTGAACCCAATAACTAGGGAGTATTCTTACGTACACCGGACACCCTAGCTCTCCTTGGACTTGGAGGTAGGCTTCCGCCCAGTTCGAAAACGAATAAACCTCCCACGATCATCCTAAGAGTCAGGTTTTACTGTCTGTGTTTAGAATGAGAAGAATAAAAGAGGGGAGAGATATAAAGAAAAAAAAA